GAAATAATACGAAGTATGAGAGTGGTGTGAGAGTTGGTGGAGGACCACAGGGAAGAGCTAACCATTGAAGAGCTGCAAGAGCTTCATCTGGAGCAGTATCAGACCACAGCTGAGGAACTTGCTTCAGAGGAGGAGGAAGAGGGAGTGGATGAGGTGCCTTCTTCAAAGATTAAGGAGATTTGTGCCATGTGGAATGATGTCCAAATGTTTGTGCAGAAGTACCACCCTGAGCAAGCTGAAACAAGCCATCTTTGCAACAAGTTCAGTGACAGAACCATGTCCCATTTTAGGGAAATGTTAGAGGTGCCAGAAACAGAGGACTGTGGACAGTTATTTTGTCAGACAGGGGTCCAGTGACTCTCAAGCTGGTCCTAGTGGCATTAAAAGACAGAGAAGGGAAGTAACCCCAGAGAGGGCTTTACCTGAAGTCCTCATGGAGGGGGATTCTCCTTCCAAACACTAACCCCAACTCCCTCTCTCCTCCTCCCTATCTTCCAGATGCCATCACCAATCTTCAATAAAGGTAAGTAAAAATGTTATTTTATATGTATTACTATACATAATTAAAAACTATAGTATTTGTTGTATGTAAAACTGTAATTAATCTCTATAAAATGTATTTTTTGTGAATATTTTTGGGCTTCTGGAACAGATTAATTGTATTTCCATTATTTCTTATGGGAAATGTTGCTTCAAATTTCAGACTTTTCGAATTTAGAACTAGCTCCTGGAACGGATTAAGTTCGATTTTTGAGGTTCCACTGTATATACGTTTTTACCGCTAGTGCCCCAAACGTATGTATACGTTTTATGTGTCCTACATTTAACATTGCCACGATAAGCCTGAGTCGCCTAGACATGTGAGAATGGGTGTGATCACTCACTGTGCACCATATTAAAATAATTGGGGATGCTTGGGTACCATATGCTCTTTTTTCCTATTAAAAAACAACAATTTTTCCTATTAAAAAACAGCAGTACGGTAGTGAACGTATATATACGTTTGGACCGTTTACGGGTTAAAAAAAAAAACTGAAATGGTAGAAAATCTTTTTCTGAAGGTACTGACACTTTAAGTACAAAATTTGAGAGAAAACTTATGAAATTACACAGGTACAAAGTTAGCAGCTTGGATGCAATTTACACATTGGTGATTTTATTCACTTCGAGTCTTCTTTTATGCCAATTCCATTACCCAGTTTGACCAAAGTTTCAGCTATTTAGCTAGTATGGTTTTCATTCTATTGACTGAGTGCAAGAAATTGCCCATTTGCCTATCAGAACTACCTTGTAAAGTGCACAGTAGGCAATTTGGCTAGTTTTACACAAAATTAAAAAAAATCCAATTTAAAGACAGATTCCAAAATAAATACTAGACATTCCAGGTATCAGAGAACCATTTCCTCGGTTCATTAGTCATGCCCTTAGGCCTCTCCTATACCTACACTTGCTCTCGATATTGGATGATTGGCCATGGTTTACAGCATCCCGATAATTGAATCAGACCTAGTAAAAACCCATAAAACAGACCAGGGTGTGGGGGTAAGGCCTTACAGGTCCTCAACAAAATTGTAAAAAAATAAAATATTTCTGCTGTTCTGAGCCTAATTTCAAACTATGTATTTCCTGCCATGAAATCAATCAAAATTATCTCAGTTTCAGTAGTAGATCTTCATTATATCAAATGATACCAAGAAACAGCCAATAAAATCATAAAAACAGACTGCCCGCACATGTCAAAGCCAGTCATAGCATGAACCAGTTCAAGAGGAGAGCCAAAAGTTGTCTGATGAATGTAGCTACAGAAAGGGAGGGGAATGATTTTTTATTTTTTTTTTTTAGCTAATGCACGTGTAATTTTACCTTATTCCTAGTAATGACTCATGTATTGTAGATAGTCTTAATGACCCTCGTGTAGTAGATAGTCTTTTTAGTATGATGATAAGATGTTATCTCCATTATAGAATAATAAGATATTATAACCTTTATATTATAATAATAAGGTAAAAGGACCCCAATGGAAATAAGTCACTCTGTCTGACTTTTTTGGGTTATTCCAGGTTCTCTGCACATATGCTGCTATGTATGATAATCTTTGTAACTGTATTTGTGTATACCTGAATAAACTTACTTACTTCTAAAACCATTTTAGAAAGCACCTCAAAGTTGCTGTTTTAAACTAAACACAAGGTCAAATTTTTGCTTTACCCATAATGCACCATGTGGGGTAGGTTTTTTTTTTACACTGTAATACTGTGCACTCACCGCACAGATCTCATATATAAGCTAAAATTTACTGCTCACAGATTTAAGGGAGCTGAGCTCAAAATGTTGATCTGTGTAAGCAACTCTGGTGTCAATAATGTAGATCTACGGACAAGGCAATGAAAAGGTTAATCGATTTCATTCCTTCAGAAATGCTGCCCATGAATAAATTTATGTGGAATAATTATGTGTGCTTATACATTTCCTTTACTGGTGCATGCATTTTTTTATCATCGAAATCATATTGTAGTAGTTTTTACCTAGTATAATATTTAAAAAGTTGCTTCGAAAATCTGGAGTTATGTGGAACATAATTGTTTTTCCAACGTGCTTTTCCCTAACATGCTATTTTAAGCTGCACATGGATTTTCAGGAATATAAGCTGTTTATTATGAGATTAACTGTTTCATGTACTTCATCATACTACTTTTCCACATATTGTACTACTTTCCTTTCTTACTCTTTATTAGTATGTATTGTCAAACTTTCAGCAAATTAATAACACACTGAATGCACTGTAAAGTCAATAAATATTGAACTCTATTTTTAGTGAGATCCAGAAGCTTCGCAGTATAATTTCCACTCAAGGAGGCCCTGGGAAGGCTGGTTCTTTGGGTCAGTATCCATGTATGGAACATTATCAGAGAGTGGGTACATCAAACAAGCATTCTCCCAAGGTAAGTTAAACCAAAACTTTGTAATACAGTACAGTTTAAGGGCATTTCCTGTACTAATACCATATTTATAAGTAAGAGAGACATCAGCAATATGAAAACCTGTATTAGCAGATGAGCTATTGTTTCAATGCCAAACTTAATCAAATTTTATAGACAATATGTGGAAAAGTATGAAATGTGAGGCAGCACAGAAGGTGAAGTGACTCTTCAACCCTTTCAGGGTTTTGGACGTACTAGTACGGCTTACGCACCAGGGTTTTTTGACGTACTAGTACGCGTAAATTCTAGCGCCCTCAAATCTAGTGAGAGAAAGCTGGTAGGCCTACATATGAACGAATGGGTCTATGTGGTCAGTGTGCACAGTATAAAAAAAATCCTGCAGCACACAGTGTGTAATGAGAAAAAAAAAACTTTGACCGTGTTTTTGGATTAAAACAGCAACTTTGCACTGTATTTTCGTATGGTATTTGTTGTTGTATTCTAGTTTTTCTGGTCTCATTTTATAGAATGGAAGACATATTACAGAAATTGAGATGATTTTGACTGGTTTTACAATGAAAAGTACCTTGAAATTGAGCTCAAAGTAGCAGATATGTTCGATTTTTACCAAAGTTCAAAAGTAAACAAATCATGCTAGGCATCCAATACACGTCAACTGGTGAGTCTAATATTCTTTCACAGGTGCGTTGATATTATTTATACCATTTCTACACTAATGCAGTGTTATGGGGCTATAGACCCAACATGTATTTATAAGTAGCAGTTACTCTGGAATACCTAATTATATTGAATTGATGGGGACACAGAACTTAAATGGCCCTAAGGGAAGATCACTCTTATGGACTGAGAGGCAGCTGGGTCAAGCCTATTTTTCTCAGTATAATAGGTTATACTGTAGACACAAATACACAATTTAAATAAATAGTTTATAAAGTTGTATTTCTTTTTGTAGAATTAAAAGTGTGGGAGAGTTGTGGTAACTAGAGAATTGTGCTTGTCAACAGTCTTTTGTTTTTTGGTGGGTGTGGGAGGAGCCTAGCTAAGCTTCTCCATATAAACTATTACCGCTGGCTGCCGGTCATGCGGTAATAGTTTATTTACTTTTTTCCCTATGTTTTTCTTTTATTTTTTAACATTTATTTTTTTCAACTAACTTTTATGGCCTGTGAGACCAATATAAGCCATATTTTGGATATATACACTTGTTGTATACTACACACTAACTGCACAGACAATGACAGGTGAATATTTTCACCTGTTTTAGTCACATACTATTGCCTAGAAATATATACAGAGTATTTATAGGTCCCAGCAATGTTTTGGTGGGGAAGGGAGTGTGAGTTTGTGTAAACAACATGGCTGGCTGGCTAGCAGGGTTGGCTGGCTGGCTGACCAGCTGGCTGGCTGGCTGGCTGGCTGGTTGACTAGCTGGCTGGCTGGCTACTTGGTTTGCCGGCTGGCTGGCTGGCCAACCGGTTGACTGGCTGGCTGACCAGCTGGCTCTGTCTCTGTCTCTATCTCACAGGTACATATAAATACAATTATACATAGTGTAAATTACTTAGGATACACGGAGAATATAATAATACATGTAATGATAATAATAATAATAACTGAAGCATGGTGTAAGAGAGTGTCACTTGTCTTATCTCTCCACTAATGAGAGTGGTGACATTTGATGAGGGGCATCTTATCTTATCTCTCCACTAATGACAGTGGTAACATTTGATGAGGGGCATCTTATCTTATCTCTCCACTAATGAGAGTGGTGACATTTCATGAGGGTACACTGCCTTCCCTTTATTTGTTTTCACTTTACACATAAACATGTCTCTGTCTGTCTGCTTGTCTCTTTTTCTGTCTGTCTGCCTGCCTCTCTTTCTGTCTCTGTCTCGGAGAGAGCCACTAGTTAACCGACACGTATTACACTCAGCGCAGTAGTCACTGTGTCACATCTGAATCCTGATACAGTGGACCCCCGAGTTTCGTTGGCATTGACTCTCGTGAAATCCGACTTTCGGCAAGTTTTTTCGGCAAAATTTAGCCTCGCGGTTCGTGATTGGACTCGTGATTCGGCGACCGTCTGGTACCCATCCACCCATCACCGCACACACAAAGTCAGTCTCCCACACCATTCACACTCAGTGTGCCATTGTTTACCAGCACGTGACCATCACCCTGCGGGTTCATACAATACATTTCATAATAATCCATTGTTTTTTGTGCTTGCAACTGCTAAATAAGTCACCATGGGCCCAAGGAAAGCTAGTGCAAGCTCTTTGGTAAAGAAAGCGAGGAACACAGTCAAATTCAAGAAGGAAATCAAGAGAGGGATTTTGAAGGGTTTGGGGCTGACCCTAAGGAGCCTATGCCAGTTGTGGAATCTATTGTGGCATTGGGGAAGTCCCTTGGGTTGGAGATGAGTGGCAAGGATGTGGAAGAGTTGGTGGAGGACCACAGGGAAGAGCTAACCACTGAAGAGCTGCAAGAGCTTCATCTGCAACAGCAAGAGATCACAGCTCAGGAAATTGCTGCAGAGGAGGAGGAAGAGAGATGGAGGAAGGTGCCTTATTCAAAGGTTAAGGACATCTGTGCAAAGTGGACTGAAGTGCAAACATTTATGGATGAACTTCACCCTAACAAAGCTGTTGCAGGCCGTATTGGCAACATGTGCAATGACAGTGTTGTGTCCCACTTCAGACAAATCTTAAAGAAACTCCAGAAACAGAGCTCTCTGGACAGATATTTTGTGCGACAGGGGTCCAGTGACTCTCAAGTTGTTCTCAGTGTCTTTAAAAAAAAAGAAGGGCAGTAACCCCAGATAAGGATTTGGTAACTGAAGTCCTAAGGGAAGGAGATTCTCCTTCCAAACAATAGTGTACACCATCCTCCTATCCCCTTCTCCCGTCTTCCATCCACCCAGAAGTCTTCAGTAAAGGTAAGTGTAATATTATTATTTTATATATGTATGTACTTGATTTCTTATTGTTTTCATTATGTAAACATTTATTTAATTTGAAAAAAAAATATTTTAATTTAATATTTTTGGGTGTCTGGAACAGATTAATTTTATTTCCATTATTTCTTATGGGGAAAATGGTTTCGCCATTCGGCAATTTCGACATTCGGCAGACTCTCTTGAACGGATTAATCACGAAACTCGGGGGTCCACTGTACTTATTATTTACCAGTCTGGATTTTTTGGGTTATCCTAGGTAATTTACACTTTGTATAATTGTATTTATGTGTGCAATTATTTTACCTGTTTCCTCAATATCTTTTACCCCTGTATGGACATCAGTGCTTCCACCAGGTTTTGCTGGTAGTGTGTCGACACTATTCCCTGAGGCATCGTCCCATTTTGATCCATCTGCAGCAGTATCTCTATTTTGAACCTCTGTGGACTGAATAAAGTTAGTCTTCAGTGTCCTCCAGGGCAACACTAGTACTCTCACGAGTGTTATCTTCTAAGACATAACTAGGACCCTCTGGAGCACTTTCCTCCAGGACAACACTAGCACCCTCAGGAGCACTGTTCAATCAGCCCCGTTCCTACTACCCATCTTTTTTCCCAGCTGTCATACCATGCTGACATGTCTTTCAAGAAGGATGTACAGTGGACCCTCGACCTACGATATAAATCCGTTCCTGAGAGCTCATCGTTAATCGAAATTATCGTTAGTCGAGTTAATTTTCCCCATAAGAAATAATGGAAATCAAATTAATCTGTTCCTGACACCCCAAGTATTGAAAAAAAAAATTTTGCCACATGAAATATTAATTTTAATACACACAAACTGAAGAAGACATGTACAATTACATGACACTTACCTTTATTGAAGATCTGGTGATGATTGATGGGATGGGAGGAGGGGAGAGTGTGGATGGTGTTAGTGTTTAGAAGGGGAATCCCCTTCCATTAGGACTTGAGGTGTCAAGTCCTTTTCCGGGGTTACTTCCCTTCTTTTAATGCCACTAGGACCAGCTTGAGAGTCACTGGACCTCTTGTCACACAACATATCTGTCCATAGAGGCCTGTACCTCCAATTCCTTTATGACATTCCTGAAGTGTTTCACAACATTGTCAGTGTAATAGTCACCAGCATGGCTTGCACTAGCTGTGTGAGGGTGATTTTCATCAAAAAAGGTTTGCACTTTAAACCACATTGCACACATTTCCTTAATCTTTGAAGTAGGCACAATGGATTCCAAAACTGGCATAGGCATCTCAAGGTTAGCCCCAAACCCTTCAGAATTTTTTTTAATTTCCATACTAATTCTCACCCTTTTTATCACAGGGTTGGCAGTAGAAGCTTTCTTGGGGCCCATGGTGACTTATTTTGCAGGTGCAATCACTAAAAACGTTGTGATAATATGAAATGTTCCGATTGTATGTTTGAATGCGACCGCAGTGGCTGGCTTGTAAACACTGGCACCCACGGGACAAGTGAGGCGCGCTCAGCGTTGGTCGAGTTTTTTAGCGCTAGTCGAGGCAAAATTTTTGCGTTAAAATGTATCGCTAGTCGGATTTAACCCTTTCAGGGTCCGTCCCGTAGATCTACGGCTTTACGTTCAGGGTCCAAACCGTAGATTACGCCATGAGCTCAGCTCACTCTGATAAACTGTGAGTGGTACATTTGGGCCTAGATATGAGAGAATACATCTATGTGGTATGTTTGCACCACATAAAACAGATCCTGCAGCAAACTGTGTATAATGAGAGAAAAAAAATGAAATCATGATTTTTTCGATTTAAAACAGCAACTTTGCAGTGTTTTTTCGTATGTTTTTTATAGTTGTATTTGCGATTTCTTGGTCTCATTGATAGAATGGAAGACATATTACAGAAATAGAGATGATTTTGATTTGGGTTTTAGTACTGGAAATGGCTTGAAACTGAGTTCAAAGTAGCAGAAATGTTAAATTTTTGCCGATATTCAAGAGTAAACAAACGACCTCACACGTCTAATACACGTCAGCTGGTGGGTCTAATATACATT